AAGAAAAGAAAAGAAAAGAAAAGAAAAGAAAAAAGAAAAGAAAAGAAAAGAAAAGAAAGCAAGAGAAGGGAGGGAAGGAAGGAAGGAAGGAAGGAAGGAGGGAGGGAGGGAGGGAGGGAAGGAAGGAAGGAAGGAAGGGAGGGAGGGAGACAGAAAAAAAGAGAGAAAGAGTGAAAGGGAGAGAGAAAGGGAAAGAGAGAGAAACAGAGAAAGAGAGTTAGTTTTCTGGTGAATAGGTGGTACTAAAAGGAAGATAATAGTAATCCCAGAGAGTTACTTATAACCTCTGAAATGCACTTAAAATACTACAAGTGTTTCTTTTCATCAAGGTAACCTGAATATTTTCCAATTAAGTCTATATTATGCACCAGTTTGATATGTTGATGTTGTTATTCAAATTTCCACTAAGCAAAACAAAAACAAAAACCTGAGAGGAAATAAAGTCTGCATTCCTTGTCTGGAAATCTGGGCCTAAATATGACAAAATGCAGGGATCTCATAATCTAAAAATTTTAACATTATTTTTCACAAAATAATGGCAAATGCAATAATACTGTCTTCAGGAAGGACAGAACTATCATCATCAAAGTATGTGATAAACTTTTTAAAAATCCTGGCACAGCTACAGAGAAAGTCTGCACAGAGAATAAATTTTAAGGCCTCTTTGCATGGGAAGTATTCAATATGCTTAGCATAATTCTAACCAGTAAAAGGATTACACATTTGCAAAAGCGCAATCAAGTTTTGAAGGGAAATACTCTGAGAATTATTACCCACTAAGATTAAAAACATTCTGAACTTTGACTCAAAACTACTTTGTCATTGAAGGTAGCGAGTGGACTTCCACATTTGGTCTCTACAACCTGTAATTTTGCAAGGTAAATGGTTTTACTATTTAAAAAATTCGCTTGAAGCATGCAGGAGTTCTCCTTTAACTCAAAATGTTGCTGAAAGAAGTCCTTGACCGTGTAATTTTTTGAAGCATGCCAGATTAGGATCACTGACTATCTTTTGGTTTAAAACTATCTTACATAACAAATACAATATAGGACCTGTCTGTTTAAGAGTATCAGGCTTCTCAATACTCAGTGGGGAAATGAAATTTCTATATTAAAAACACATGATCATAATCTTTGTTTGATGTAAAAATCATTGAAATCATACATTAGAAGTACATCTTCCAGAAAGTTTACAAATGTGATTAACCTGCAGTCTACCCAAAAAACTTTAATATTAAATATGTCGATTTTATGGGCCACTCCTAAATATTTTTTGAAGGATAATTTTTAGTATGGGCATGGTGTCTCAGGCCTGTAATCCCAGCACTTTGGGAGGCTGAGGCAGGCAGATCACTTGAGGTCAGGAATTCAAGACCAGCCTGGCCAACATGGTGAAACCCCGTCTCTACTAAAAATACAAAAATTAGCTGCGCATGGTGGTGCATGCTTGTAATTCCAGCTACTCGGGAGGCTGAGGCAGGAGAATAGCTTGAGCCCAGGAGGAGGAGGCTGCAGTGAGTCAAGACTGCACCACTGCACTCCAGCCTGGGCAACAGAGCAAGACTCTGTCTCAAAAAAAAAAAAAAGACAATAAGTTTTAGAAAATCTGTATACTAACCATAGAGCTATAGAATAAACAAATGGTTTGGAGGAATGAATAATTCAAGAAAGTTAGAAGGTAAATGGCTTCCATATATGATATCCAATCATTTTTAGAAATCTGAAACATAAAGCAAGGTCAAAGTTACTTGCTTCCTCGAACTGTGTTTAGAATTATCTCTCAATTTTAGCAAAGGTCAAGTTAAAATCTAACTAGGCAGGAAAGAAAGACTATGATATCCCACTTCCTGGTATGAGATTTCCCTTACATTTTCTATTATACTCCCAAAGGCACAGTATTTATTTCAACAAACATTTGGCACCTTCATGTTCAAGTTCAATAGGAGCAGAGACCTTAGTGTACTATTCCTTAATATAGCATTAATGGCTATAATTTACTAAGCATTTTTCATGTGATAGGCACGTTCCCACAGTAATCCTGTCAGGCATGTAGGTCTTTATTCCATTCTACAAGTGAAGAAACTGAGACACACAAGGTCAGTGGCTCAACAGATCAAATAACTAGTGCATGATGGAGCCGGGAGTTGAACTTGGATCCATCTCCAACTGTGGCTATAGAAGCCCAGTCTTGTAAGAAGAAACGCTTTATCTTTTTTTTTTTTTTTTAAATAGCAAGATACCTAGGGACATGCTGAATATATAAGCTAAACTGTATTGTTCTTGTAAAGTAATATATGCTATGATTTCTCCCTCCACCTCTCACCTTGTTTTAAAGGGCGGTTTAAGGCAGCTAACCTTTTACCTATATACAGATACTAACAGTGAGAGATTAAACAAATGTATGAAAAAATTTTACCAATTATCCCTACTTTAGTTTCTTAGAGGCAGAATACTTTAATTTTCTGCCTCAAAGCTTTGTTTAAAGGTGGGTGTCTAAATAATCCTTGGATGCTGTACTCTTACTCCTGAATGCTGAGGGAAATGAAATTAATATAAAAGAGACTGAAGATAAGAGGGAGGAAAACAGTCATACACAAACCTTGCTTCTGGTCGCTAGCTGCAGTGACAGGGGTGCTGGCAGCAAGATGAGCGCTCTCCACAGTCCCATAAACCACAGGGCTGTGCTCAGGGACCTGGCTGGGCAGCTGCTGGGATTTGAAGTACAAAAAAGGGTGATAATGAGCGTGCGAACATAAAAACTAGCAACATGGAACCCAAGCGAGTAGGGAAGACAGTAGAGCACAGGAGATCACAAAATTAAAAAAGGAAAGCAAGGAAAAAATATATAGTCCAATTTAATAAATTCAAAAGTACATGGGAAGACAGGGAAGATAAAGAAAGAGGCAGCAGAAAAAGGGGAAGGAAAAGAAATGATTACTATTAACCACAGCAAGAGAAGACAGCACAACAATCATTAGTACAATTTATTCCCCAGTATTCCTTCTAAGGACAAGCCGACTTGTCAACCTAACAATAGATGTCACATCTGAGAGGGAATTTAACACTCTCCCAAAGACCAAAATTGATTTGGTCAACTTCATGTATAAATTATCTAGCAAACCAGTACAAACAGAAAATGTAATGAGACCGAAAACCAGTTACAGATTCAAGAAAACAATACTGAAAAATGATTCCTGCTACTCATCCATGTAATCATACAGGTGAAATACTTTGAAAGTATATAATAAAGCAATTTCACCATAAAATGTCTATAGGTTCTGGGTCAAGTATGGTATTTTCAGAATCAGAAATCTTGAGTAAAATACCGGGTTTTTCAGAGATATGAGAAAACCCTCATTTTCACTCAGGCATTGTATTGGAATGAAAAATGCCCATCAAAATCCAAGCAGGGTAGGTTGAGAAAAATCACAGCTATTGCTCAACTTAGAGGAACAGAATTACACAAGAGAGGACATGAACACTCATTCTACATCACATTCCAGGCAGGTATTCATTCAGGATTTGAGGGTTACACAAGCAACAAAACAAAGCAGTGTCTCTCCTCGGAGATCTAAGGTCAATATTTTTGGTATCTATAATATCCTACAATGAATTATATCAGTGCTATCAAAGTAGAGCTCCTATACAATTCTATTTTTCTTTTTCTTCTGAGGAGTAGGGATGGGGAGATTAAGATGTAGGTAAGTGTGGGCAAATAGAGACACTTAAAAAGTGAGAGTTCATAAAAAATATTTTCAAGTCGGTGTCACTTAAAATGGGAATATAAAATGAAATGGACACATACAATTTAGGATGATAGATATCATTTAAGTAACAATGCTTTTTTCAGAATGTACAACATTAAATTTATATTTGAGTATATAAGGATTGTATAGAATAATAGACAGAAATAGTGAAAATGCTATCCTTTCACCTATTCATTAGACCGTGAAAATGTTCATATTCCACAATTACTTCTAAATGAAGACTACTAAAATTATATTTCTATATAAAAAAATGGAGAGTTACTGTTTTCACAGGGACAAATAAAGAAAACAGCACTGCCGTAATTACTCTGGATCCGTAGTTTCAGTGGGAAAAAAAATGCACTACTGAAATTCAATAGAAAGGTTCATAGCTAAAAATAAAAATACCGATTTTTCAGTTCTACAGGTTGAAAACAGATCTGGAACAAAGGAAACACTCCATGTTATTTAGCATTCATTAAGCAGTTATCCACATTTCTCAGGAAAGAAAGATTTGTAAGTTGTATCATTTACCTGAAAGGAAAAAAATATTAACTACTCCAATCGCCTGGGAAATTAATAACCAAATAAAAAGCGGGGGGGGCAGGTTAAGTGCTAAAAGTAGGTCACAAAATGACATTCACAGAAAAAGTAAGATGTTTAAGACAGTAAAAGGCTACTAGAGTCAATGATTTTTCCATCTAAAATACCTTCAATCATATAAAAGATGGACATTTTAAAATTAACAAAGTCCTAAAAAGAATCTATGTATAAAGAGTCGTAAGAAAGGAATGAGATAATATGTTTAAGTTACAATTTGAAATCCAAGTATCCAGTACACAAGTATATATCCATAAAATGCTCGGAAAGTACTTCTCAGTTTTCACAGCAGTGAAATGTAGAACTAAAGATCCTACAGTCTCCTTCAACTTCATCATTTTATAAGCCTCCAGCAGTACTAATAAAATCATAACATATTAACATGTAATTCAATACTTTTTTTTTTTTTTTTTGAGACAGAGTCTTGCTCTGTCACCAGGTAGGAGAGCAGTGACACAACCTCGGCTCACTGAAACCTCCGCCTCCCAGGTTCAAGTGATTTCCTTGCCTCAGCCTCCTGAGTAGCTGGGGCTACAGGTGTGTGCCACCACACCCAACTAGTTTTTTGTATTTTAGTAGAGACGGGACTTCACCATGTTGGCCAGGGTGGTCTTTATCTCCTGACCACATGATCCGCCTGCCTTGGCATCCCAAAGTGCTGGGAATACAGGCGTAAGCCACCGTGCCCGGCCAGAATTCAATACTTTAATCTTGCTCAGAATTAGTTTTAATTTAGGATAATCTTCTCAAATTGTATTTTAACCACTAATTTCATCTATTCTCTCCTAAAGAAGTAACTCAACCAGGGCAGGCACTGTGGCTCATGCCTGTAATCCCAGCAGTCTGGGAGGCCAAAGCAGGCAGATCACCTGAGGTCAGGAGTTCGAGACCAGCCTGGCCAACATGATGAAACCCTGTCTCTACCAAAAATACAAAAATTAGCTGGGAGTGGTGGCAGGTGCCTGTACTTCCAGCTACTCGGGAGGCTGAGGCAGGAGAATTGCTTGAACCCGGGAGTTGGAGGTTGCAGTGAGCCAAGATTGCGTCACTGCACTCCAG